GTGTCTGGCTCTTCTTTCCAGGCTATATGTCACAGAGGTAAATAACTGACTCTAATTAAATCAATTGATTAATTTATAATGCTGAGCATGGGATATGAAAGGGTGAGGGGGGGGGGGGGCGGTTGAGGTGAAGAGAAGTCGTGGGGAATACCCCCTACCAGTAACTTGTACATGAATGTCTTTTCTCTTTGTCAGACTCTCAATAAGTTATTGCTTTTCTAGGCGAGACAGCGATGTGTACACAGAGCTTTTGGTTTCCAAAGCAGAAATGTTGTAATTGACGGTACATGAGCAAACTCCATGCCTCTATGATTATCGACCAACGCGATGTTTGATATTAAACTTAAAGAGAACTAAAAGCGAACGTTGTGATGTGGAAAGAAAAACCAATTCTTTTTCTCACAGATGCAACAAGAAGGAGCTAAATTTTGTCATGAAGATTCTCCTCTTGTATTTTGTCTTCTGAATGCTTTGTAATTATAATATGTAACTAAAATACTTAAGAACCATTCAATCACGTCTTTCTAGGATCTTGATTTCTTATATTTGTGTTTTAAATGTTATTCACAAGCTTTCCAAAGATACTAAAGTTTGTAGTTAACTGTTTCCGACTGATTACCTACTTAGAACAGAGCAAATAAAGGAATAAAAGGGAAAAAGAAGCAGATTTTGTGTGATAGAAACATGCAGAGAGAGAGGGAGAAAGAGAGGGAGAGGCAGAGAGAGAGAGAGAGGCAGAGGGAGGGAGAGATGAGAGAGACACACAGGGATGCCATTTTTCTGGCAAAAGCCTGAAATCAGGCCCTGGCAATTTATTTTCAGCCCATAGTTTAGGTTTTTTACGTGTACAAAATAGCTAATTCTAGGTGATTTTCAGGCCCTCAGATTAATTCTAACTGGCATCCCTTGAGACAGAAAGAGAGAGAGAGAGAGAGAGAGAGAGAGAGAGACGGACGGAGAGAGGCACACAGAGACACACACAGAGAGTGGGATGGTAGAGAGACATGAAGAAAAGAAAAGAAAGCAGGAGAAAAGAAATAATGGGGTTAAGAAATAAGTGACATAAAAGAAAGAAAAGAAAAAAGAAGCCAAAAGAAAACGATAGGAAGGAATGAAGAACAAACGACTGTCAAGTAGGCTATCACAGTATGAGAGGAGCTTAAGTAGAGCATGAACAATCAGGGTTTGTTTGCCCCTAGATTGAAATTGGCCACTCGCTTTATTCTGCTGCGATCGGCCCAGTCTGTCTGCTAGCTTCAGACAATGTCATTACTGGGAGTGATCTCTCCCCTCACTCGGGCCCGTCCCCACAGCCAACCTCTCAACATTTCTCCCAGTGCGCTTGGGTGGGTAGCGGCTGCCGATGCTGGCAGTGGCGACGAGTGGCGTCTTTTTTTAGCATCACCTTTGATCATAGGGGGGCGCTCGTTTTGGGTCCCGTCTTCGTCGGATGAAATGAGGAGGCAATTGATAAACTCCTCTAGAGAATCGGTTGTCTGGTAACCCGTCGTAGATCGTCTGTTTGGAGCCAGAACGACGTTAACTCCGACGTCTTACACAGACTTACAGCCCTTCTGGCTTTGCAATGATGGTATATACCCTGGATGTTTGATGCTTGCTTGAAGCGGAGTTGGGCGATTCTTTAATTGGCTTTATCGTTGATGATGAGATTAAAGATAAGGTTGGGTACTGGACATGCGATTAGGCATACATTGTGAAAGAAACCTGTCTGGAAGCAAAATTTGGGAGATATGGTCGATTATTGCATGAATAAGAACGAGTAAGCACTAGCTTTGAGGATTTGAAACGATCCAAATTATTCAAATTTGACCTGGGATGGTGAAATGAAATATTTCTCAATAAAACTCATCACTTTGCGATAAATTGGGTAATAGAAAATGTGGGACATCTTCATTTTTACCATAATAAAATTGGCCAAGTTTTAGATTGTATGATACCAAATGTGGGACGTCCTCGTTTGCAGTTATGTGTTAGCCCCATTAGGTTTATATATATATATGACCCAATTTACAAATTGATAGCATTTGCAGACTTTTTGATTGTGTAATATGAAATGTAGGACGTCTTAATATTTACAGTTGATGCATAAGAGAGGTACAGGTTATATGAGACAATTTGTTGAGAGCCGCAGGTGCATGAACTATTCTGATAAATGGAAAATATTCATTAACAGTGAAAAAAAAAAGTGTGAGGCCCACCACATTGTGTACTCTACATTCATTGTTGGGATCCAGAAATATATTTTCAACTCACAAATGTTTCATACAAGACATTCACAAAGAGTAATAAGCCTGCTGATAGAGACAAAAGGATCGCTCTCACCAGACAACTTCCAAGTGTATTTGAACCTCCAGAAAAGGGAAGCACAGTAGAAAATTGAAAACTCAAATCAATACATAACAACCAGACAATGGTAGAAATAATTTACAACTTCAAAACACACAGCAGACACCCACAGAGCAGCACAAATTATGAAGAAAAAAAATGTAAATTATAATTTATGATATCGAAACTGATTCATAATCCAGGGTCACTCTTTATTAATTTCTTTCCAGGAAGTTTCAGTATTTTATGTTAAAGCTAGAAAAAACACCTATAAGTTTAGCATTGTTCTCGTCTGTTTTACGCACGATATAAGTACCACAGCTCAAAAATTCATTTCACCATTGTTATCTAAGTTCAGCATTCACTTCAAGCTCACCAAAATACCTGTAAACATTGTTGTCATCTGATTTTGGGTCAGTATTTATACCCAAGATGAAACATACCTTTAAACAATATTCTCGTCTGATTTCAATTCAATGTCAATTCCAAAGCTCTTTTAGTGACAGGATTTTAAACAGTATATTCTCATTTTGCACAATGGCGTCAGTTTATCCAGGGTAGTCATTCTGTGCATTAGAACATTGTTTGACCCGAACTACATGTTGTTGGAAGTTTCAGTTCCAGACTTGTTTGTTGGCAAGTTATTTCTTTGCGTTTCCTCTTGCAGAACATGGTTGCTTAGCACATGCATGCTCTTGAATGTTCTGTGGTAAATTCCACTCACTAACCAAATTCCTCTCACTAACCAAATTCCTGACTTCAACTATTTATCTACCCTAAAAGGCTGAAAGTTTTCCCTAGCTTGTAATAACATGAATATTTAAGTGTATATACAATGTCTGAAATCTGAAAACAGTGCTGATTATGAATTTGTCTTCTTGCAAATAATCAGAATATAATTGCAATAGTATCCGTTCTGTTCAAATTGGAAATATAATCTTTCGGTTGAGAGTGGTGACCTGGAAATTGTAACTGGCATAGGGCCAATCTGGTTTGTTTGCTAGCTTGTCTTCTTCCTTGTTTATTTGTTTGTTTGTTTGTTTGTTTTAGAACTTCAGATAGCTCCCTCTTCTCCCTCTGTCATTCATTTCCTGTGGTGACCGTTTCACAAAGCCTTTTTTCATTGGCAAATGACAAAAATCAGTGACAAATCTGCTGATAACCAATCAGAAGCAAGGATTTCAGTAGCTTATAACAAAAACTGTCATTTGTCTTTGATGACAAGTTTTGTGAAACGCCCCCCCCCTGGTAAAGATGGAAAATAATAAGTGAGCTTTCTTGCTCGCTGTATGTCCATGCCATCATCTGCAAGATGGAGTCGATTTCTTTTCATTTTGGTCGTTTCAAAACTTCTCATTACACATTTATAGTCCCTATACTACACGATCAACCATTCCCAAACAGTCTCCGTCTGGACTCCTTTTTAGAATTTTTTTTATCATTAACAACTGCCACACAAGTACTCTCAGCCTATCATATGCAAGGATTTCAGTAGCTTATAACAGTTATTGTCACTTGTTATCGATAACAAGTCTTGTGAAACAGGGCCCAGAATAATCTCATTACCTGTACTCAATTTGATTTTTAATTGATATTTTAATCGCAGTCTACATGTACTACATGATCAACCATTTCCAGACAGTTTCTTTCCGGACCCTTTTTCATAAAAACTTATCAATAACAAATTGCCGAACATCTACGAAAAATGTCAGCCAATCAAAGATTTCAGTAGCTTATAACACAAGTTTTATGAAACGGGACCCGGAATAATCGCATTACCAGTACCCGATTTGATCTTTAATTGATATTTTGAACGCAGTGGCACCTTCCTCTGCGGACCCTCGGCTTCATTGCAAAATATGTCTAAAGGAAGGAAGCCATAGAGAGCGCATGATGCGCGGGACAGCTGAGTGCTAAAGTGGCTCGCAGGAAAAAACAAGAGTTCGGATCAAAGTCACGGATAGAGGGATGGGCGGATGGAGGAATGGACGGATAGAGAGATAAACGGATGGAGGTACGGATGGATAGATGGATGGACAGTGGGAAGGATGGGCTGAGGGAACGAAGGGTGATGAGAGATTAAGGGAAGGGTCCTTGAAGTCTTCGGATGGTGCTTTGAGAGTTCCATTTAATTGGAAGGATTGCTATTGAGTGTTTTATTTTTATGTTTGAATGATATTGTGGTTGGTATCTTGTGTACAGATGTGGCAGTCAGGCTGGCATACAAATTAATTTGTTCATATTTAACAGCAATTTCATTTGATTTTGTTTGTATTGTACATTGAAACATTTGGGAACCCTTGTTCATTGGAACTGCAATTGTTGAGCACTGCAGATGAAAGTGTAAAAGATGACACTGAATGATTTTTTTATTTTAAAAAACAAATAAATCAGATTACCACATAATGTGACAATCTTCAGCCTTTATTATATGTTTTTTAATCTCTAAATGTATTGTTTGAAGGACCCAACAGAATCCGTTTCAAGAGGACTGAACAAAATCCATTTCAAGAATGGATGATATCCAAAAATGGCAATTGCAACAATAACAATCATTTGTTAAATGACTCTGCTACCATTTTGTAAGCAGTAATGACAATCATTTCTCATTGGTATGTAATGTTTATTTTTTTCTTCCATTTTTTTCTTTCCAGATCTCGATTAACAGCTGGAACCTAATGGAATTTATTGTGGAATAAATCCGGTTTTAATGTCCGTCTTTTTTTTGAACTACCAGTCAAAACAAATGGTAAGTAACTCTTGTACTTTGTAAATATTGCGACAGATGAAGATAGTATTTCACTTCTTTTTTTGTTGGGGGGGGGGGGAGGCTACAACTCAAAATTAGTCTTGATGTCATGGACTGTCCTTATCGGAAGAAGTAATGAAAGGACGAAGGATAAGGAAAACATCTTTAGGTTGCCAATGGTCATGTCCGCATAATGTCTACATAAGAAAACTGTTAATCCATTACCAACAGGAACTGGACCGTAGATCCTGTATTAAGTCTATGGGGATATTAGAATTCAGTAGTCAATGGGTTATGAGGGTGCTCTGAAATTAGCTAAGGGTACAAAAGCTACAGCTGTTTTTTTCCTTCATCAGAGGTGCAAGGTTAGGTTTAGGTTTAGGGTTATGTTAAGGATTAGGTTTAGGGTTGCAAATGAGGTGTTTGGTTTGGTGTAGGGTTAAGGTTAGTTAAAGTGTTAAGGTCCAGGTTTGAAGTTAAGAATATGCTTAGTGTAGGGTTAATCTGTAGGGCTATTATTGTTGGAGGATGTAATACCGGGAGGAGAGATCCGCGGGCTACAGTGAGTCAGTTCGCTTTTCGCCTCCTAGGCACAGGTGACGCCAAATAGATAATAATAATAAAATTTGTAAGAAAGAATACTGTTGATACAAGTTATTTCTAGAACATTTTCCATCTCATGTGAAATGGTGCATGTTTTGGCAAAGATTATGCCTATCATTTTCATGTAGTAGAGCATGCCTTACAACTGTGTAAACTCTGGTAAGAGCTCTGATGCAACATATTCCTGCAACCTTGTTCTTCTCGTTTGTGAAAATGCCCATATTATTGGCAAAGAGGGACTTCCATCTTGTTCATGTCCAAAACTATGACAGCTACCAGTCAGTGGGGAATTCGTCCAGATCTTGACAAGAACCAGGTCTCTGCTCGCACCTCTCTAACCTAGCCTGCCGCCTGAGTTCTACAAAAAACAGATCCTGGATCTTCTTTTACATCAGGGTGGCCTAATTCCATCCTCAATATGGAAGCTAAGATTTCCTAGATGCAAGTTGCTATTGCTGAAATGGCTCAAAGTGTACCCATTATATTTCAGTACCAAAGATGATGTTTCATGTTTCCTTTTGCTTGTGAGTCAGGCTATTAAAACTGGACATGCTTTTTTCTGTTTAAGGGAACCCCCTCAACCCCCCCTCCATCATGCCAATTTACATGTATTTCAATTTTTCACCATAGAGGAGGCAAAATGGCTCTGTTGGAAGTGGAGATTGGAGGGGGGGGGGGGGGGGAGGGGGAGTGGGAGGGTTCAATCTATTAAAAAAAATGGTACCTTTCGTGCTTTGGGCTAGGGGATTTACCCTCAATTACCCTAGTTCCCTAATGGTCTTGCAGCCACTGTTCGCATCACCAGGATGCATGCCGTTTTGTCGGCTCAGCGCCAGAAGGTCTCTGAATTGTATTCATCAATGTACAGTCAACTACCTTCTGGCTATCCATTAAGCATTTGTAGACCCACACCAAACTTGGTCAAACTTGATCAACCAAATACCACACGCACACACGCGTGGGTCACTTTGATAGGATCTATGCAAAGTAAATGGAGCATGTTACCTCAAATTTAAGACAACAATGGGTAATTTTTAGCCCAGATATGGAATCAATGGGGAAATGGTCCAATTTTAGAACACCGAGAATTGTTTTACCACATAGACTTTGTACACTCGTCGTATTTTTATATTGCATTTAGCCCCATTTTGAAGGATAACCTTGTGGTGACATTCATACATGATACATTGAGCACTAGTTATGGCTATGTCGTTCTAGATACTGATCTAGTTATCCCTCTCACCCAACAACGACAGCAAAACAAAATTTAAAAAAACTCAAAATGTGAAAAACAACACAAATACGTTCACCACACTTGATTAATTGGTCACTCCCATGGATGTTGTAGGATATGGAAGAAGATACCTTGGTAGAAAGATGCACCAACTTTTTATGCGCACATGGACTGTGCATGGATATTCTGAAGATTTGTAATGACAGAAAACTGCTGGAGGTAACCAAAGCCTTTTTGGTTTATGTAGGCCTACATGTATACTAATAATTAATAGGGAAGAATTCAATAATGCATCTACATGTAGGCTTGTATACACACTGCAGTTGGTATTGTATACTGTTGATCGCTCAGGCAGATGCAATAAAGTCTGAAACTGGAGAATAGCAAGGGGGGGGGGGTCTGTTGCCAAATCAGGGCTGATTCCACTGTCCTCGACGACGGCAGACATAAGGTCAGAGGTCACGCAGGTCAATACTGGGTCTGGGAGTTGGCCTCTGTTTGAACTTGAGAAGGAAACTTGTTTTGATGTAGACGGTTTTTGTTTCGGAGGCTGCTTGGAGACTGAACAAGGGCTTTTGCAGAACTCTGTTCAACGGTACATGCAGTTTCTTGTCCTAGGTGAGCAAGCTCGCTCTTGTAATTTTAGTTTTGTATGCAATTTAGCATCAGAAAAGATGGATGCTGAGTGCTTTCCTTGAAACATGAACATGTTCTGTGCTCTTGATTTTGTTTTGAATATTAGGAAATCTTTACCCTGGTTTTTAGCAAAGGCAGAGCCATGAGAATTACTTAGACGTTCAGCTTCTAGCAGACATTAAGTTTGTTGTACCAGCAGTAAGATTTTATTTCTTTAACACGGTGGATTCACAATCCACACCACCATCTAGTGACACCAGAGTTGCTTGTACTAGCAGTACGATCTTTTGGTTAAAGACTGCAATCCAATAACATCACATGACTTGGGAGTGTGGTGGTGCCAACCTGCTTTTATGGAAATTATGTTTGGATATTTTCATTTCATTTCTGCCCATCTTGTGGTTGATGGAGAAGTTTTACTATTGGTTTACCATATGGATTATTTTTCTATCCATTTCTCTGGTTGTGTCTCAATATGCAATATACATGTATGTGTTTGTGAATAATTGATCGTACATTTTATTCAGTTGATTGTACTTTGGATGATTTTTGTAATGGCTGTATGATCTTTAGATGCAGACATTGCGACACATGACCTATAATGTCCATGAAAAACTAACGTTTCATTAGATTTCCTGAATGTTTACTCAATTATTAACACCTGTGCTTTTTTTCCTTTATCTTCCAGTGATAGTTTCTAATTTTGTGTTTCTGTTCCTTCTTGCGAATAACTCTTGATGAGCCCAAGACAAAAAGCTTTTATAGTAAGCCTGATTTTGCGGCTATTCGTTGATATTGTAGTACCTTCCAATCATCTTCTCAGTTAACATTTAAAGAATGATATTTCTCACCATTCTCACCTAATTCAGAAGCTCCATCTTGGATCTTAATATCAAGGAATTCTAGGATCTATGTGGATATACTCAGTTAGGACTAGACCAGCATAAAAGGTAAGTTCCCTATAGACCAAAGTTTTTGATTGTTTCTTTTTATATGAGGAATATCCATATCTCTGCTGTCTAAATGGTTGTGAAATCTTCTCTGGCAACATTATTTTACTCCAATCAGATTATTATGTCAAAGGTATAGGGTGATGGGAATGGGCTGCAATTGTTTGTCTTTTATTCTAAGGTTTAAAAAGTTTTAGTTGGGGTAAGGTGTAGGGTAGGTGTAGGTGCTGGTGTTTAGAACTTTGGCTTAGACTTAGGGTTAGGGTCAGGGTAAGGTTAGGGTTTGGGTCAGGGTAAGGTTCGGGTCAGGGTAAGTTTCGGGTTTGGGTCAGTGCTCTAGATTAAATGTACTTGGCTTTCATAGATAAGGTGATCTAGAGTTGAAGCATGGAATTAACACAAAGTGAAGTCACAGATTTGACTGGTGGAGGTAATTGACCGCAAAGTAGTTGACCACAAAGTAATTGACCGCAAAGTAATTTTCACCAGCGCATATGTCATAGAACCCTCCGAATGCACCGGCTGTGGAAGGCTACACTTACTGACATCCCACAGTGACAGACGAAACCATTGTGGATGAGTTGATGAGGTGATGAGTTGCTGAGATATTGCATCCCCCCCCCCCAAGAAACTGAATTAAAAAGTTGTTTTAAATGCGAGTTGCCTTATATTAGAAAATACATAAATTCACCGTTTTGGTAATCAAAAGATTTAAACAAAAATTGCTATTTCCTCACCTTGATTCTATCTTTAATTTATAGGGAAATGGGTATGATTTCAGATTTCAGATTGATTGAAAGCTTAAATTTCAGAATAAATCAAGTTCCATTGCCAATTTGATAATATCCAGGCCACCCATCCATCTCTTAACATATAGTGTGTGATGTCGGGGTAATAACTTCCAAAGCACTGTATTGCAGCGAGAAATGGTACTTCATAATATGATACATCCGTGCTTCGTAGAAGAACAGTATATTTTTTATGTCGTCCGCCCAGTGCCAGAATGGAGTATCTCCTGTTTTAGTATTTCATAGTTAATGTCCTGCTAGCTTCAAACTGTTGATTTTCTATTGTAAAAATTGTGGGAACTGGGAATTCCTTTTTACTATTCCTCGTTCCTTGTCAAGGGGGAAGTTCATACTGGAACTGGGATGGATTTCATGCATTTTATCATTCAGCATTTCCCGGATTGATTCATGTCTAGTGGCTTAGAGCAGAATCAGACTTAAATAATGCTACTACAGTTTATGCCAGTTTCGTTGAGTGTGCTATTGTATGGTAGTAGACGAAGAGAAAACAAAGGGGGAGAAAGTTGTCTTTTTTTACTGATTTGAATGAAATAGCAATGAAAATCATTTCTATATTGCTGAACCCACCTCTCAGGAGATACTGAACATTTACAGGAAAGAAGCCCTTGTTGTGGAAACCTTTTTTTGATGAGAGAGAGAGAGAGAGAGAGAGAGAGAGAGAGAGAGAGAGAGAGAGAGAGAGAGAGAGAGAGAGAGAGAGAGAGAGAGAGAAAGAGAGGTAAATGTAAAAGGTTAGGGTTGGGGGTTGGGGAGGGAGTGGGGTAAGAAGAAAAGTACAATGGGAATTATTTCGGGCCAGTTTTTTTCTTTGTCAGCATGATTGTGTTCACCACTCCCTTAATAGAATCTTGGAGTCAAGCTACTACTAGAGGGAAAAAAATGAGAAAGAGAGAGAGAGGGAGAGAGTGATATTATAATTTTGGTCATAGTTCATGCTGCTTGTTTTCATATAATGCTCTGCCCATAATTACTCCCCAGGTTCTGCTAGAGCCTACCCACTTCAATACCAGTACCTGGGTAATTCCCATTTAGACTAGCAGAAAATATTTTATAGCTATACGAAAATCGTACAGCTATACAATAATTCAATTAGTAATTTTTCTTCTCTTTTTTTCTAAGCTGCATGTCGAATACACGTAGCAAAATACAGGATAATGAAGCGTTATATAAAACGGAGGTTTAAGCGAAAATTTGGAAAGACTAATCTTCTGGTATCGAGGTTCACTTTTAATGTGTTTATCATATTGTAGAAAAACATTAGGACATGGCTGGGCTTAAAATGACTGTGTGCTGAGGGGCAGCCATCTAAGCTGATGCTGAAACATGCTTGCCGATAGTTTCTTCATTTAATGTTTCTTCACAAAATATTTTCTTTTCACTTGTGTATGCCCCTTTGCTATATGATGGTACTTTCTAAGACATTTATTAATACATGGTTCGTATATATTTCCCTGTGTGTGAACAGGCTCCAAGTCTCTTCGTTCCCTGGTCATTTCTGAATCCATCAACGACCCTGAATTACCCACTTGACTCTTCCCACTTAGACCCCAGTAACACTGAGGGAAAAAGAGAAAGGAAAAAAAAAGGAAAAGAAAAAATAAAGGACTACAGACCTTGATCAAACCTGTTTCATGTAAAGCTTCACAGGGAATATTATACGGGGGCTCAGGGCGAAGTAGCCCCCGAAATGCCAAAAAGAGCCCCCTAAAATTGCATAGAGTTCAATGCAAAACAAAATAAAGAGTGTTATTTTCATGCAAGCAAGCTTGAAAGGTAGCCCCCAAAATTTGTAAAGTATTTTTTTCCCCTGAAGCTTCATTATACAGCATTTCGCTACATGTATACAGCATTCAGCTCAAATACTGATTAACTTATTGTATAGCTGTACGAAGAAGGCAGCTTTACTACAAATCAACTCCGAATTGACCAATTCTTGATGATGAGGGGTAATGCAATTTCTTGTTCGGTCCGTGGTCGGTTTGGTGCCAGTCTTGGTGTTGTAACTGCGGTATTACTATTAGGCGCCTTGCTATTAGGCCTACTTGCTAGACCAATGGACCGGACGTTATACCCATGAAGGTTGGCTAAAGGTCATTAGTAAATGCAATTAAAAGCTATAGGCCTATAGGGAAGAGGGACAGAGGGGTGAATATTATAAGTGTTATAGGGTGTCTAGAAAAAAATGGTAGGTTTTGATTTTGGTTTGAAAGGGATCCTAAACTGATAGACTTGACAGCTATAATCTATGCCTGAGTAAGAATTGCTAATGGTCATTAATAAATGCAATTAAACTGTTGACTATTGAACTACTTTCATTGCCATAGGCTTAATACATGCTCCCAGTTTCAGTAGACAATGGATTGAGAGGGACACAGTGAATTCAATAGTCCTTATAGGGTGTCTGAAAATTGGATAGGTTTTAATATTTGGCGAAAAAGGTTCATAAGCTGCTAGCTGGACTTGGCAGCTACTATTATACATTCTGTACCTGTTTTGAATCTTAACCAGTTTTCTTTTTTATGTGACATTTGAAATACTGCCTGCATACCCTGTAAGCAACTGCATTCTATATCAGTTGTTTTGCTGTGACTGGATGAGGTCTGGAATGAAAGACTACTGCACAGCCATACATGCAGCTCCCTATTTTGCAATGAATGACCCCAAGCCCTAGATTTGAAGGGGGGGAAGGGCTGTATTGTTACTCAATTATTGCAACAATGAGCTGTTTGCTGGTATAATAATGACCCCAAAAGGGCTTCATTCAAGGACCCTGATAATGACCCCAGAAGTGACCAGCTGGTCAACAATGAAGTGACCATGAGCAGAAGCCTGACCAGTGCAGGGAGCTGTCATGGGCAGTGTGAAATTCAATCCCATGTTGTCACAGTTATATTCAGACTGGTCAGACTTCATTGGTCTCTCTATTCAGACCTCATTTCATGCTTGTGGGAGCATGAAATGTTTTGACCGAATGCACTCTAGTTTCTACATGTATCTAATGTAAAGTAAGAACTTTTTTATTGGACCAATTTGCTGTGCATGAGTCTACATAACTTTGATGCATGCTACACTTACAGCCTTTTCACACACAGCTACAATTCTATAAACGTGACTAGTATAAATGTGTTTCGAACGTGTTTAAACTAATCACGAGCCTTTCACACACAGAAATTTCGGTGTGATCGTTTCGTGATTAACTACTGCTTGTAAAATGCGCAGTAGTGCCATTGCGCATTGAAGGTCATGTCACATCAATCAAAGCGCATGCTCCATCCAGTTTAAACACGTCTGAAACACGTCTGAAACACGTCTGAAACACGTTTAAACACGAATAACCTTTCACACACAAAATGTCAAGCTCACTAGATACGAACTTCGTATCTGCAGCCTGCTTTTAGGGGTGTATGCATCGCGACTTCGTATCTATCCCAACATCGTATAAACGATGTTCACACTGGGAAATTTTGTCTATAAACATGTTTAAAACTGTTGAGTGATTCTAATCATCTCTAGATACGATGAATTTTAGCTGTGTGTGAAAAGGCTGATAGTCTCTTCAGCATTTCATGCAGGATGGAAGATTGTGGAAACATTTTTATTATTTGAAAACTTCGAATTTACCATTTCAAAGTTGAAGCATATCCAAAATTGAATGACCCCACAATTTCACATATATTCACATACATGTATATTCACAAAGCTTATGAACATGGGAGAGTTTCCACTTTGTGAATTTTAAAATATTTGTTCTCAAATATTGGAGTTGCTTCCTGATAAAGCAAATGTTGTTCTCTTTTTTTAAAGAATACTTGTAATCGTATTGGGGAATATACAGTCGCTGGTACTACCCAAGGATATGTGTCATGACCATGGTATCAAGCTATTGTCTCAGAGGAAAGGAACAATTTTGATTGGACCATGAGAGAGAGAGAGAGAGAGAGAGAGAGGGGTAAAGGAAATTAAGAAAATATGATTTATCAAAAAAAGGATGTATTTCTACAAGAAGTCTGGGAATGCACTACTTTGTTGGGTCTGAAAGGGGTAGACTAGCCTTGTGGTCAGCAATGCTGTGGTTTTTGTGGTCAGTCTGGCCATTGTCCTTGCTAATAGGCTGGACAGTCTGCAGATTAAATCAATGCCATGGCCAGCAGGGCAAGAAGAAGGTCAAGGTCACTTGAGTCCAGCAGGCAAGCAAGTGGTCTAAGACCGCCTAGTCTTTGCTGGTAAACCCTGATTTTCTGGTACTGGCTAGTCCAAGGTATGTGGTCATTTAATGCCCCATGCATTTCCGACTATTGTGTAGTTCTGCATTTAAAATTGACATCATATTCGTCATTTCTCTTCATTTTGTCTCTTCTCTGATCTCTTAGAAGTACAAATAACTTAGTACAGTTATACAACAAATTAAAATCTTGGAGCAGTTCAGTAATGTAAGACACAAACTATCTTGGGTTTGCCCTATTTGTTATACTTCAAGGTGATTCGTTTATT